TTTTGTTATATCATTCATGTTCGTCACAATATATAGTCATAGATATATATATTGTAACGGATTTCTCGATAAATCGTCTACCTGTAACTCACTCTTGAGTTCGATCACTGGATTGTTAAATAAAAGTCCCAATTTAATGGCTACACACTTATCTTTATTTCTAATTCCAACAACTTAACACTTATTGCTCGTTATTCGAGCTTACAACTTCTTGCTTATAGCTTAATTGCTCTCATCACGACAACACTCTAACCAGAACTGTGTTTGCTGCACAATCCGGCAGCCCTTATATAGTAAATCTGTAACAAAACATTGCTTCTAGAACATTCTGGCCACTACGAATTCGCTAACTACTTTACTACTAGAACATTCTGGCAACTACGAGTTCGCTGTCTAGTTGCTTCTGGCAATTTATCGTCGATTCGATTTTGTTCTATCATCCATATTCGTCACAATATTGTAACGGATATCTCGATAAATCGTCTACCTGTAACTCACTCTTGAGTTCGATCACTGGATTGTTAAATAAAAGTCCCAATTTAATGGCTACACACTTATATTTATTTCTAATTCCAACAAGTTAACACTTATTGCTCGTTATTCGAGCTTACCACTTCTTGCTTATGTCTGAATTGTTCTCATCACGACAACACTCTAACCAGAACTGTGTTTGCTGCACAATCCGGCAGCCCTTATATAGTAAATCTGTAACAAAACATTGCTTCTAGAACATTCTGGCCACTACGAATTCGCTAACTACTCTACTACTAGAACATTCTGGCAACTACGAAATCGCTAACTAGTTGCTTCTGGCAATTTATCGTCGATTCGATTTTGTTCTATCATCCGTGTTCGTCACACTGCCCTCCACCTAAGTCTGATCGTCCCGATTAGACATATTTGCGATACCAAACACAAAGCTTTTATGTCCCCCATCTCGTCTTCTAGGCTGGTGCAGACATCGTTAGCCGTCCTTCTCTTCTTGAAGTTAATTTCATCCGTTTTCCGGATACTCAGTTTCTGGTACATCCCTTGACTTAAAGCTGACTCGAGATTCCATTCTTGATCAGAACGTAACTCCATTAGAACACCGAATCTCGTTACCCACTTTTTGATAAATGCCTCCACCACTGGTTCAGTCTCTTGGTTAGGAATTGCGTATACTTGTGGCCATTCATTGAAATTGTCCTTGACTACCAAAACATGACTATTTCCTAATTTATTGGTGGGAATGGACCATCTTCATACACGCCTATTTCCTCAACTGGCGCACGCGAATTGTGCTGTTTCATCTGCCCATGACTCCTGGACCTTGATCCTTTAGCTACAATGTTCTCAGCATATTTCGCAATCCTTTCTATAGCTGATTGACAACCAGTCCAATAAAATCTTTGCTTCAAATGCTCCAAGGATTTCATGTCTCTCAAGTGAACTCCTCTTGGACATTTGTACTGCACGTTAAGAACATCAAGAATTCCAACCCTTGGAACAACCATGAGTACTCGGAAGGTTTGCCCATTTTCGCTTTTCCATACTCGATGCAAGCAGCCATACACTAACTTTAAACTGCTCCGTTCTGCCCAATATGATTTTGTGACTGGCCTTCCTGTAGTTATTTCTCCAATCGTTGTACATTGGTTCAACTCCATCTTATGGAATGCACCTTCCAATTCTGGATTTTCTTGCACAGAGTCATCCGTTTCAGGTTCAATTTTATGCTGATCTTCCACCTGTGATGGTATACACGCTTCCTGCTCTTCCAACTGTAAGGACACTTGTGCTGGTATCCAAGCTTTTTGCACTTCTAACTGTGAGGAACCTTTTATTAGTTCACACGCTTCCTCCTCTTCCAACTGTGGAAACACCTGCCCTGACATACGCAGTTCCAGCTCTTTCGACTGTGAGGACCCTTGTACTGGTACACACACTTCCTCCTCTTCCGACTGTGAGGACACCTGCGCTGGCATACGCCCGTTCAGTTCTTCCGACTGCGAAGACATACAAGCTTCTTGCTCTTCATACTGTGAAGATCCTGCTTCACATGCTTCCACCTCTTCCAACTGTGAGGATACCTGCGCTGACATATGCACGTCGAGCTCTTTCGGTGCTGAAAACTGTGCTGAAAAACGTGCATGTTGCGCTGCGAACAGCTCTTTCAAATGCGTTGACAATCGCGTTTCTAACTGCGTTGACATCTGAGACATACGTGTATCCTGCTCTTTAAATTGTGTCGACATTTGCGTTCCCATCTGCGATATTGCAGAAAAAAGCATGTTCATGTCCACCATCTTTGACGAGCATTGAGCCTCTTCCTTTTCTTCTATCTTTGTTGTCTCTTCTTCTAATTCCACGTGAAAGAAATATTCCTCAACATTATTGTTTTCCGCCTCCATGGCCTCTCTCAACCGTGATTGTAATTCAGTTTTTTATCCATTTGTCGCCAAACCACGTTGTTCCAGCTCCTTTTTCAGTTGTGGAATCTTCAGATCGTTAAACTTGGCCATTTTTAATTAATTATCTCCTTGGGAATTTATTTGACAATCCCACTTCTGACACCAATTGTAACGGATTTCTCGATAAATCGTCTACCTGTAACTCACTCTTGAGTTCGATCACTGGATTGTTATATAAAAGTCCCAATTTAATGGCTACACACTTATCTTTATTTCTAATTCCAACAACTTAACACTTATTGCTCGTTATTCGAGCTACCACTTCTTGCTTATGTCTCAATTGTTCTCATCACTACAACACTCTAACCAGAACTGTGTTTGCTGCACAATCCGGCAGCCCTTATATAGTAAATCTGTAACAAAACATTGCTTCTAGAACATTCTGGCCACTACGAATTCGCTAACTACTTTACTACTAAAACATTCTGGCCACTACGAATTCGCTAACTACTTTAGTACTAGAACATTCTGGCAACTACAAATTCGCTGTCTAGTTGCTTCTGGCAATTTATCGTCGATTCGATTTTGTTCTATCATCCATATTCGTCACAATATTGTAACGGATTTCTCGATAAATCGTCTTAACACTTATTGCTCGTTATTCGAGCTACCACTTCTTGCTTATGTCTCAATTGTTCTCATCACTACAACACTCTAACCAGAACTGTGTTTGCTGCACAATCCGGCAGCCCTTATATAGTAAATCTGTAACAAAACATTGCTTCTAGAACATTCTGGCCACTACGAATTCGCTAACTACTTTACTACTAAAACATTCTGGCAACTACGAATTCGCTGTCTAGTTGCTTCTGGCAATTTATCGTCGATTCGATTTTGTTCTATCATCCGTGTTCGTCACAATATTATTACCAAAGCCGACTGATTGGCGCTATCACACGTTCAATATTTAATGTGATATTAGGATAGTGATCATAATTGATGATTGATGGATCACGAGTAAATGCTACACGTTCAATAAATATCTCGTCAGTATTTATTGGAAATAAATCCAGTTTTTAAAACCAGTGTGTTAAATATATTTTTGCTAAGTATTTGTTTAATTTTGTCCGGGTTTTCGATGAAATGTCGAAAGAAAACTGAAGAAAAGTTTTTAAGGTTTTGAAGAAAAACAATCACAGACAGCGCTCGTTAAAAAAAAAATGTTGCAACTATTGTAAAGAATTCCCCGGATCTTAAAAAATACTAAAAAAAATTTGTATGTGTAAATATAAAATAAATAAAAATTTTTAGAAAATTAGCATTCCTTTTTATTATTTTTAATAATTTGTTCCGTCGTATCGTGAATTTACATACAAAATGTCGTTGATGTCGCGATCAATCTTTAATGTTTAACGCGCAATCCACGATCCGCGATCCGCATTTCAAAATATTTTATGATATGGCGATCCTGGATCGCGTTTAAATATAATGAAGTCGTCTTCAATTGCATCCCTACAAGCGGATATCTACTAGCAAACGTGTTAGCGACTTGTTATTGTCCACAGAGAGTGGGAAAAAAGTAACACATCGCCATTTGATATTCAATAGTTCTCTCGCTCTATCCAATCGTTATTATGTCATTTAGTTTCGTTCTAAGTTACCTTTTATATGCGTTTGTTATTTTTTGGGTAACAGAATGACATACATTGGTTATCAAATCTGTTTACAGTCTGTTGAAGGTAATAAATACTTTTGTAAGAGAGTAGGTTACCTATGTGTTATCCATAACAGAAGTATTTGTTCCCAAAATTTCGGTTAGTGATGTCGTTTTGATTAGCAGTTTGTTACCTTTAACATATAAACTTGTTAGCGTATTTGTTATATATTTGTTGGCTTTAACAAGCATAACTGTTGCCTCGATTTGTTACATAATTTATTACCTATTTGTTTCTTTTAACAAATTCGTATTTTAGCTTATCGGTTACCATCATGTTGACATAACCAATTCCAATTTTGTTAAATAAAATTCAATATTTTTTTATATTATTTTTCTTTATTTTATTGAAAAACGTATTTACTTACTATCTTATTACTAACTAATTATTCAGATTAATGAATATCTTAAATGTGTACATATTGATATATACTATGTTACACATATGTATATAGGTTAAATATAAGTATTAACACTTAAATTGTATACTTAAAGAAGTACATATAACAATATATTATATATACTACAATTATAAAGATACATGCATACAAAATATCTGGTTAAATGAGTTTAGCCTCCCTCTACATGTACACACCACTCTATCCGGAAGAAACTGGCACACCCTACTACACATCACACCTGAGAACACCACCACACTCAGTCACTACACGACGACACGTCATACCGCCAAGCAACAAAACGGATGGTTCCCACATCAGAGGATCAACTTTCGTTTGTACACAGTGCCGCGTCAATACTACATTCAATATAGCGCGCTTCCTGCATTCGCTTGCACAATTCGACAGCTAATTTGATTCACAACGCTCCACCCGTCGACATAATTATTGTCTACCTTTTATTTTAACGAAATTATAACGAATTATTATAAAACACTGTTCTTATATGACGGAATAAATCAAAACTTATTACTTGTATA